ATAATGATGGAGGAAGAATGAGAGAAAAGAAATTATCCTGGTGGACGTGTTAACACATGCATGTCCCAAATGTCTTACCCATTGGAGATCTTTGATAAGGCTAATTTATTCTTGGTAGAAAAACTACTCTGTGTTATTTACAATTAAGAAATCTGTATTTTAAAGTTATTTCCCTTCCATTTTCTCGTTTGTCAGATCTTTTTATTTATGAATTTGCAAAGGAGTTGTGTGTAGTATTATGTGATAGTGATAATCTAGGTAGTATTCTATATAAGAATGTTCAAGGCATATTATTTGAGAGTCAGGGATTTTCCTATCATAATTTGACCTAACATTCTCTGACTTCCTATTTCCTATATTGTATGGTGAGCTGCTTTAATTTGTTTCTCATTTGTTTCTGCTTTCAGTGTTTCCCCTGTGCCTGAAATATACTAAAGTAGTGTGCCACATAATGATACAATGACATTTTAATTGCCTTTGGACCAGATGTATGAAATGATGGGCCTGTGAGATTATAATACCATATTTTTAGTGTACCTTTTCTTTGTTTAGGTACACAAATACTTACAATTGTGTTACAGTTGCTTATAGTCCTCAGTACAGTAACATGCTGTATGGTTTCCAGGCCAATGGTAGTAGGTTATATGATATAGCCCAAGTGTGTAGTAGGCTAAACTGTTTACGTTTGTGTAAGTACACTCTTCGATGTTTTCAGAATGACAAAATTGCCTAACAATATATTTGTCAGAATGTGTGCTTATGATTGACACATGACTGTATTTTAAAAATTGAATCATATTGTCTTTTCATCAAATAGTCAAAGAATCTGAGTCTGGAAGATGTGACCACAAGTGATGAAAGGAATGTAGCTGGATTAATAGACTATGAATGGTGTGAAGATTATTTATCAACAGGTCTATCTACTCCCCAAACACCACAGGTTGGTAATTTTCATTACTATTTAAAGCAGAATATATTGTCTCAATTATAACAACAACTAGACTAATATGAAAACAAGTATGTGCTTACAAATTTAATGAATCCCTAAACCATTGAAAACATTAATGAGATATTATTGAAATATGAATGAAAGGAAGTTGAAGAAAGCTGATTCCATTTTGGATGACTACTTTTTTTCCTTTTCCTTTTTTAGGAAAATTTTTTTTTAATTTTTATTTCATTTTTTGAGATAGTCTCTATTGCCCAGGCTAGAGTATTATGGCATCAGCCTAGCTCAAACTCCTGTGTTCAAGTGATCCTCCTGCCAAAATGCCTGTCTAATTTTTGTGTTTTTAGTAGAGATGGACTGCTCAGACTGATCTGGAATTCCTGAGCTCGCCTGTTGGCCTCCCAGAATGCTAGTATTACAGGTGTGAACAACCATACCCAGCCTCCTTTTTTTTGTTTTTACGTGAGAAATAATTTACATATAGTTAAATTCGCCCCTTTTAGTGTGCGGTTCTGTGCATTTTGACAAACACATACAATTGTGTAATCACCACCAAAATTAAGATATAAAACAGTTCTGTTGTTCTTCAAATTTTCTCATGCCTCTTTGTGGTCAATCCCCACTTATCAGCTCTGGCCAGCAATTGATCTGTTTTTGTTTTTCTTTTTTTGAGACCGAGTCTTATTCTATCACTCTGGGTAGAGTGCCTGGCATCATAGTTTACAGCAACCTCAAACTCTTGAGCTTGAGCAATCCTCTTGCTTCAGTTTCCTTAGTATCTGGGACCGCAGGTGGGTACCACCATGCCCAGCTAGTTTTTCTTTTTTTGAGACAAAGTCTCATTATGTCACCCTTGGTAGAGTGCCATGGTGTCACAGCTCACAGCAACCTCAAACTTCTTGGGCTTAAACAATTCTCTTGCCTCAGCCTCCTGAGTAGCTGGGACTACAGGTGCCAGCCACAATATCCGGCTATTTTTTATTGCAGTTGTCATTGTTGTTTACCTAGCTGGGGCCGGGTTTGAACCTGCCAGCCTCAGTGTTTGTGGCTGGCGCCATAACCAAGTGCTATGGTTATGGTACTGTTATGGTGCTACGGGTGCCAAGCCATAGTTTTTCTGTTTTTAGTAGAGACAGGGTCTCACTCTTGCTCAGGCTGCTCTTAAACTCCTGAGGTCAAGCAGTCTCCCCACCTTGGACTCTCAGAGTGTTAGGATCAATTTTTTTTTTTTTTTTAGACAGAGTCTTACTCTTCACTCTCGGTAGAGTGCCCTGGCGTCACAGCTCATAGTAACCTCAGCCTCCCAAGTAGCTGGGACTATAGGCACCTGCCACAAAGCCTGGCAATTTTTTTATTGTAATTGTCGTTTTTGCTTAGCTGGCCTGGGCCGGGTTTGGACCCACCGCCTCCAGTGTATGTGGCTGGTACCTAAACCCCTGACTATAGGTGCTGAACCAGAGTGTTAGGATTATAGGCGTGAGCCACCTCACTTGGCCTCTTTTCTTTTGATAATCTTTTCATCTTACTTGAAGTATTGAGCTTCTTAGAAGTATAGATGATTTTTTTTTTTTAAATCAAATTTGGGGAGTTTTTGGCCATTATATAGTTCAAATCTTTTTTTCCCCCATTTTCTGTCTTCTGTTTTTCTGGACTCCGCTTATGTGTATATTAGCACACTTGATGGTGTCCTACAGTTCTCTGAGGCTCTGTTCATTTTTCTTTGTTCCTTTATTCTTTCTGCTTTTCAGACTAGATGATTTAAATGAACTTTTCCCCAAGTTTCCAATTCTTTATTCTGCCTATTGAAAATGATGTTGAACCCTTTTAATGAATTTTTTTTTTTTGAGATGGAGCCTCAAGCTATCCCCCTGGGTAGGGTGCCATGGCATCACGCTCACAGCAACCTCCAACTCCTGGGCTCAAGCGAGTCTCCTGCCTCAGCCTCCCAAGTAGCTGGGACTACAGGTGCCCACCACAACACCTGGCCATTTTTTGGTTGCAGCCATCATTGTTGTTTGGCGGGCCTGGGCTGGGGATTCGAACCCGCCACCTTAGTGTATGTGGCTGGTGCCTTAGCCGCTTGAGCCACAGGCGCCGAGCCATTAATGAATTTTTTGTTATTTTTATTGTACTTTTCAACTAACTGCAGAATTTTTTTAAAAATAATTTTATCTCTATTGATAACCCCTATTTGTGGTGACATTGTTCTTACACTTTCCTTTAGTTCTTTGGACATGATTTCCTTTTGTTCTTTGCACATATTTAAAAATTGATTTAAAAGTTTTTGCCTGTTAAGTCTAATGTCTGGGCTTCCTCAAGGACAATTTCTATTGGTTGCTCTTTTTCCCTGTACATGGGCCATACTTTTTTATTTCTTTGCGTGTCTAGGCCTTATAATTTTTTGTTGTTGTTGTTGTTGTTGAAGACTGAACATTTCAAATGATATAATATGGAAACTCTGGTAATCATATTCACCTTGCTCCTCAGGATTTCCTAGTGTTGCTCTTTGTTGTTTGTTTAATGACTTTTCTGAACTAATTCTGTAAAGCTATGGTTCCCAGTCGTGGGCTAGGGACTGCTACTGGTCAATGGCTTGTTAGGAACTAGGCCACATAGCAGGAGGTAAGGGGCAGACAAGTGGGCAAATAAGCAAAGGGGAATCTGTATTTACAGCTGCTTCCCATAGCTGGCATCACTGCCTGGGCTCTGCCTCCTGTCACGTCAGCGGTGGCAATAGATTCTCATAGGATCATGAACCCTACTGTAAACTGCACATGTGAGGAATCCAGGTTGTGTGCTCCTTAGTAGAATCTAATGCCAGTTCCCCCTACTGCCACCCACCCCACTTCAGTCCATGCAAAAATTGCTTTTCATGAAACTGGTCCCTGGTGCCAAAAAGTTTAGGGACTATTGCTGTAAAGTCTATATTCATTTTTGTATTTGGCTGTAGACGTCTCTGTTCAGTTAGCCTAGTGATCAGCTAATACTTGCAGAGAATTTCTTAGATGTTGGAGTCACCAAGTCTTTTATTCTCTGTAAGTGGCTCTGTATACATCTGTATGCCGTCAACTCTCAGCCAGCACTTGACAACACCATCTTAGCTTTCACCTCCTGTTTGCACAGAACCTCTACAGCAGCTGAAAGTGAGAGCTTAGAGCCTTCTCAGATTTTTCCTGAGCAAATGTAATTTTGGTCAGGAGTGCAGTCCTATGTACATGGCCTTCTAGATTCCCAGGTCTATTTCAGGACTATTTGAAGTCATCTTATTGTTCCACTTTCCTGTAAGCTTTTTGGTTAGTCTGCTCTTACTCTGCCTGTTACCCACTGCTTCGCGCACCTACAGTATTCAACAGTTGCCTCTAAACATTTGCCTTTAAATGTTTTCACTACAGCTAAGGAAAAGGCTATTTATACTGGGTAAACTGAGTAAGATCAAGTAAAGATGGGCTGAAGAATGAGATCTTTTAGGGAACTACCAGACAGGGCAAATAATGACTTCTTTGAATATAAAGCTATGAAGGAAGGTTAAGCAGGTGTCCTCAAACTATGGCCCACGGGCCACATGTGGCCTGCCTAGGACATTTATCCAGCCCGCCAGGTGTTTTTGCCGCCGCTGCCTGTCCTGCTTAGCAGCCGACTCGTCTGGGGGCCTGCAGTCTGGCCCTCCAACTGTCTGAGGAACAGTGAACTGGCTCCCTGTTTAAAAAGTTTGAGGACCCCTGCTCTAACCTGTTGCTTCCTCTAATGGCTCCCCGGCTGCTGGTTCTTGTTGTGATTGTGTGTTGTTGGCTTCTAAGGCTGTCACAGAGCTGGGAGAAGGAGATGTGGGAATAGGGCACATTTATAAGTCATAAGGCCACTATTTATGCTTAGTAGTTTTCCTTGAATAAATGCATCAATCTTTGGCTAATACACAGAGTTCTGAAAGAACCAAAGGGTAATTTGTTTATGGATAGGGAAATTTGAAGGTATATATTTAAATTTTTCCCAAATTGAATCTTAAATTTAATGTTATTTCAACTTTTCAGTGTACATGAAACATGTCAAAATGATCCTGAAATGTATGTGGAAATGCAAAAGGGCAGGAATAGCTATGCCATTCCTAAAGAAGAACAATATGGGAGGAAATTAGCCAATCAGATATAAGAAAAATTATAAAATTAAAGAATTAACATGTGTGGTATTGTTATAAAGAAGCCACTGGGCCTTTTTTGCACTTATATCTTAGATATATCTCTTAAAAATAACATATAGCTAGATTTGGTATGCAAACTAAAAATCTTTGTATTTTTTGTTGTTGTTGTTTGTTTTTGTTTTTGTTTTTTTAGAAACAAAGTCTCTCTTTATTGCCCTCAGTGGAGTGCTATGGCGTCACAGCTCACAGCAAGCTCCAACTCCTGGGATTAGG